TACCTTATTCTTATATTGAATTGTGTCCTACATTCTAACAAACATGCAATATTTACTCTTATTAACATGGCGATAATACATCTACGTTCTTGTAATATTACGCTTATTTGCATGTTGCACTAATACTGAATTCGATAAATATGGAAGATGTAAAAAGATCTACTAACATTATGAGTTTTGATGAATTGTCAATGTCAACATATAAATTTCAAATTTTATTATTGAAGAGAACGTCACGGAAAAGTGACAACTAACGTGAAAGAAGGGGAGCGAAGTTGTGCATAATGAGGTCGCAACTAACAGTGAAGTTTTAAGTGAATATGTTTGTGTATCACTTCTCCTTGCACTCAATATCGAAGAAGAAAAAGAGAATAATACTCATAGTGCATGATACTTGTATATAGCAACAAGCTAATGGGGGCCCTAGCTCATCTCAGTTTCAACTCCAATTTACATCTTTAGAGATGATGTTTTAATATAGCTAGCAACAATCTATGCAAGTATTTTACCTCCAAGAAAATACGGAGTACTCAGTATCTCCCAAAATTATCTTTTATAACAAAATACTCCGTACGAAATAGCAAAACCCAACCGGCATAGAGCGAATTTCGGCCATCGCCAAGGGTATGTTTGGGAGTTTGAGGGGAGGGAAGGAGAAAACTTTGAAGGTGCGTTGTTGGAGGGAAAAACTCTAATGGATTTATAATTAAAATTACTTTGAAATATGACAAATTCAAATAATTAAACTGATATTCATTTTAAATTGAACTTAAATTGTCATTTCATTAATTACCTTTCAAAACCCTTCGAATTGAGGTAGTTAAAAATTGAACGTTTGGAGGGTTTTGGAGGGCAATAAAAGCCCTCCAAAATCATCCCCTCCAATTTTTTAAACTTCCAAAAATGAAATTGAGGGTCATAAACCCCATCAACTTCCCCTCCCCTCCAAAACCTCACTTCCAAACACACCCCAAAGTAAAACAACGTAGGCCGACTATTGTACACCGGTTCAAGCTTTGGCCTGCATGTAAGTTTTCTCTAAGATAATTCTCTCTATAATGTCTAAGTAGCAGAGATGGGAGTTAAATCCAGACAAAAAGGGTACTCAAATGATTTAAGCAAGCCTAAATGGTCATTTAACTAAAGAACCAGATCGATCAAATTCACATAGGCATTTGTTTGGAGCATACAATAAGGAGAAAAGTGTCATTATGGTTCTTTAACTTGTCTTTAACTTGTCTCTCATAGCATAAAGAGTATATCATCATGCAATGGATACAACAAAGTACTTACACTCGGTTTTTCTATGTTAATTGAGTACAGATTGAACTATCACTTTATAAAAGATGAAATGGCAAGGATGAACCGTTAATTTTTACCTCATTTATCCCAGTCATCAAATATCCACACTTTTATTTTGAGGAATACTTGATGTACCCCAAATTTGTACACAAAATGTACACTGCTTGTGTATACGGGCATTTTGATAGAAAATTTTGTCCCTTTTCAAACGAATTGATGGTGTACACAGGCAACTAGGGAGATGGGTACAAATTGGGGTACCTATAGCTTTGTGTTCTATTTAATCTGATTACCTTTAGACTTTGCTACATCCCCTCTTATTTCTTCTTTTGCCTTTTCTCTTCTCCTGTGTTGGTCTTCTTCTTCCCTTCGATCTTATTCTTCTTTTTATCTTCTTCTTATTCATGCATGTGGCCTGTTTGCTTGTCTTTTGTTTGTCAAGCATTTACAATCTTCCATTTTTCTTTTGTCAAGGTTGTAAAAAGAGAAAGGGGCAGCTATCTAGCCGGAGTCACTTCGATTCATATGTCACAATTCACAAGGTCTCTATGGACAACGGGACAAGTGAATCACTTCTAGGTAGGGTTGTATACGAACCGAATCAAGTCGAATAGTAGGATTTTGTATTTGTATTTGTTTAATTTTTTCGAATACGAATTCGAATTCAAATATGAAACGAATATTAATTATGATTTGTATTTGTATTTGTTTAACAATACGAATAGTTAACGAATCTTATACGAATATCGAATAGATTAAATATTAGTCAAATATCACTTAAAATTAAATTTTCTTATATTTTTTTATGTTGTAAATGTACGCTATGATTAGATATGTGTTTTTAGAATTTAAATTCAATGGATCAATGCATTTTTAGATTGTGCACGATATACTAAAGTGAATCAATTTTATGATTAATAAATATAAATCCATTTCAAACTTTTTGAAATAAACACTAACATATACATATTAGAAATTACACTTATAATATGTGAAATAAGTTGATAATTATATATATATCAAAGTCAGACGACTCTAATTTTATTCTGCGAATCGAATACATAATTATTTGTATTGTATTTGAAAGACATTTGAACCAAAACTCCGATTTGTATTCGTATTTATACTCTGATTTATTACAAATGGACTTAGAATTTGTATGCGTAAATGTATATATGAACTACACTTTAGGGTATTGCTATCTTTTAAAAGTTATTATAGTGTTATTACTACTATTATTAATATTATTATTATTATTATCACTATTATTAATCGAATATATTTGATTAATATTCGAATCGAATACACTGATATTCTTATTTGTATTTGATAATAAATCGAATCAAATTTAATATTCATATTTGTATTTGTATTTGAATTTTCCGAATTCGAATCGTCTTATACGAATTCGAATCGCGAATCGAGTACAAATTATTTGATTCGTTTACAACCCTACTTCTAGGAACCACAGGCAACCTTCTACCTTTTGCATGTTTCATTCCATCGTCTTGTATTGTTCCTGGATCAGCAAGCAAAGCAAATGAAAAAATACAACATTTTTCTCCTTGACCAAAGCAAGTATTTTGATTATGACTTTTTGCTATTCGTAAAATTGAACTCCCTCAAAAACCTCAGTACATTTTCTCCTTCCGGCTTTCCTCACTACCTCATAAATCATAATCATTCTGCTCCAACCCATTGAATTGCCAACGACCAGGGACGGATCCAGGATTTTGAGTCAAGGGGGGCGAAATTTTTCGTTAGTGTAGGGGGTGTTTTTTTTTTGTTAGTGCAGCGGGGTGAAATTTTTTCCCCTAGTGTAGCGGGGCGAATTTTTTTTGCTACTGTAGGGCTATGCGGCTATTTTTATTCAAAAAATGATATTAATACTTGCACATCCCGAACCGGCATTTAAATCTATTACATTCTAAGTTTAGACGATGACAAAGACATCAACCAATACATTTTTAATAATTTCTACATTGTTTAACCTCATGAATCGGTTATTGAATTGTAATTTTTGTCCACCAAGGAGGGTGGTCGTGAGTCATGACTCATGAGAAGTTTTCTTAATATTACAATAGTAGTATACTAGTATGTATGAGATTGTTATTTTTAGAATAATATGCACCACATACACACACATATGGTGCATATTATATTTTAATATTTTTATTAATTCTATAATAATTTAAAGTTTATTATCCATGCAATAAATTATTTTTAGAAAGCAAGAAGTAAATGAATTATGTAATCTAATGTCTATAAATATTTATATTTTGGATTCATTTCATGTGATCTAAAAATTGTGTAATTAGTGTGTCTGGTATTTAATATTGTTTGATATATGTTTTACAAAATCCTGTACTTGTTATCTAATAAAGATAATTAAACATTACAAAACTAGGAATTCTTATATAATAAGTATCCTAAATCTTAAATAACGAGTTACTCTATTGTTTATTTGTTTAAGTTATGTAAATTATTTTAGATGTTTCTTCTTTTAAATCTCCAATTAAGTATTACATTACGTAAGACTATATACTAATTTTGAAAATTAAAAGCTAAGGGGGGCGAATATAATTAAATTATGAAAGTTTTATGAAAATATTACATATATGGTAAAAAAATTGAATGTCCAAGGGGGGCGATCGCCCCCCGCGCCCCCCCTAAATCCATCCCTGCCAACGACTCGTACTCTTGATCGGGTAACTTCATTTGTTATTAATTAGAGATTGCCTTAATGAAATGGAACATATGAGTTGGACTTTTTTTGGCAATCAAATTGACGTACTTTAAGGTATCTAACACAAAATAATATACTCTTTATGCTACGTGAGACAAATTAAGGTAGTATATTGACACTTTTCTCATTAAATAAGTTTTTTTTAGTTAGTGGATGAACTCATGAACTTAGAATAATATAATTCTTATAAGGCGGATCTAAATGACTTGAGTCAACTGAAATTCAAGACAATCTGATTTTACAAAAAAAATGTTTTTTAATAACTTTTTCATCTTTTCCAACTCAACTCAAATTTTTGGATCCACCCCCTACTCCTATACTATGCATATTACTAGAATATTGTTTTTGTCTTCTTCTTTTTCAGATGGGAGTTTATATAAATATTAAAAAAAATCGTGAATCTTAGCACCCCCATACTAGTAGTGGTGTACGGGTGTCCATAGAAAGTTTCAATACTTTTTTAAAAACCTGCTATTTGGACCTTAACTCAGGCAGTCAGGCCGTGTACTTTGTCGTAGTACACTACTTCACACATAACATTGGCAGTTCTCCTTAGATGGATCATTGGCTATTAGGACTGGTCTGGGAAGATGACATTTGGGCATGAAGTCCATGAACTACAAGAACGCTTTTATTAGAGAGCCGAATGCATATGAGGATATTCCCTATTTTGGAAACCACTTCAGTTTTGGGTCCACATAAAACTGCCAAGAAAGGTTATGAAGTAGAGCAAGCCTGTCCGAAAGTAGACTCCACAATGGAGTCTAACGACTAATATAGAGCCATATATAAGTGGCTTTGAGGAGTCATTTATGATTCACTGTGGAGTCATAGATATGTGGTCTCGTGATAGTCAATCAAATGTAATTTGCCCCTCATGAAAAAATATTGTCAACTTATGATCTTACTATAGTAAATAATAATAAACATAAACTGTCATACAAGTTAAACTCGAAGATTGGCCGTGCAAACCATACAATGGCGCAATAAATATCACTTTTACGTGTACTGCTTCACATTGAATGCCGCTGCAAATTGCTGATTCAAAAGATGATCCCTTCCATACTTTGGCTAAGCTTCGTTTTTGGCAGGGGGATTGACCATTCGCAGCCTCGCAGGACAAACATTTTTGCAAGCAAATACATGGCACAATTCTATTATGATTGGAGTAGCTTCTTGTAATCCTGGAATGTTCCATCAAAGGGTGTCACCCTGCCATCTGATACGGCCCACAACTGCTCTACACTGCCCGATATTAGATGTTCATCGTGACTTACCTGCACACAAGAACAGATCACAAAATTACAAAGGCCAGCCCATTTCATCATACTTCAGCCACTTAAGGAAAGTGTGGGGTTATAAGGTCAGTATGGTCAATATACCATCAGAACACCTCCTTGGAACAAAACGAGTCCTTGTATTAGTGCCTCGACAGCATCCAGGTCCTGCAAACTTTGTATTGTTATGCAAGGCGTAAATTGTATGTAAAAATACGAAAAGGAAGCTCCTGCTCTAAAGATAAATCGAGCCCCACTTGGTCATTGTCCAAATTGGCCACACAATGATTGTCTCCCAGGATAGAAAGGGTTTTCATTCCCGAAGGACTCCGGCGAGCCAAATGATTCATGAACAGAAGCCGAGGAAGAGAGAACGGGAGAAGTGGACATTGGTGACTTTCGGATGCAGAGGCTTGGAAATGTAATGCTCTTTCAAGAGACACTAATCCAAAAGACACCTCTTTAAAGAAAGGTGGTGTGACCTTTCTTTCAAAAAAATTATCCGAATTTCAAACGAAAAAAATTTAATGTCTATCTTCAGCTCCAAAAAGACCAATATATTAAGTTATTAACGACTTTTGGGCCAACATGTATGGCCCAAAAGGCCCATCAAGAATGTCTTGTCATTCATCTCAATGATATCAATGCATTACAAAGATGAATATAAAGAATTTAAATGAAAGAGGTTTTTCGTTAAGTATTACTAAGTAGTAATTAATACCCCCATTTTGCAAAAAGTTAATTTTTAGGTTTTAAGACATAAGTGTCACCAATGCAGTTAACAACTGTGAATTGACCAGAAACAACTGACCATTAACTGAGCTGGTGACATTTATGTTGTAAAAATAAAATAAAAAATGTGTTCTTGTTTAATGTTATTCAATTAGTATTATTTTAGGAATTTTTCCAAAATAAAATCCTTTTTTAAGGAAAATAATTAGTAAGCGCCTGTCTCACAACTCATGAGATGAAGCAGTGTTGCCTCGTGCACATGAAGAGAACACACCCACCAGACTTCCAACCACAACTTTAAAAACAAATACAGCAAGAATCCAAGTCATAAGTAATGAAGTACCAAGTGATTTGATGGCTCGTCAAGAAGTAAAATGTGAGGCTTCTTGAAAGTGATTTTTGAAAATGCAACTCTGCTTTTCTGCCCCCCTGAAACCATTTAAAGCATCAGTTAAGCACAAAATGTAATTAAAAAAAATTATTGTTGCAGTCATGCTTAGCGCTTGGGCTGTGAGAGAGACCCCGAGGCACAATATATACATATATACATCTTCATTGCCGAAATAGCCAGAAAAGGAGCATACCAGATAATGTATACATTGGTTGAAGGGCAAGATTTCCAGTGATACCAAAGGAACCTAGGTGAGAACGAAGTTTCTGTTCAGGTACACCCTGCAAGAAGCAAGAAGACAGATAAGCTACGCATTAATAGATCCATTGGTAAGCTATATGTCCTCAAGTTATGAACTAAGATAATTATAAGATAAAAGATGACCCATAGTTACATTACCCGTCAAATATCTCTGTGACTCCACATCACCCAGTTATTAAGATAATTTAGACAAATGAAAGAACTACTAGAACTAAGAACTCTTTTTTAGTACACCAACATAAGATTTTATGATTGATCCTTTATCATATACACTAGAATCACAACCATCCTTCTACCTTTGTGTCAAGGCTTGAGATTTCCATACCACATAGAAAACCAGGATTAACAATTCAATTATAGTATGATGGTTGTTAAATGAATATGTGCAGTTGAGGGGCCCCAAAGGGCTTTCGCACAAGATGATGAGTATGTGTAGCCGAGTAGGTAACTAGGTAAATATGTATACATATGCAATAATGCAATGTGTGTGTATCTACACACACATGCATTCATATACAATGAGAGAAGTGTATAGACTATCACAGACTTACAGGGAAGCAGCGCATCATATAAAGCAAGGGATTTGAAGTCAGGTCTAATCCATCAACATGGTGCTGGCTAAATACAGCGATCCGTACCTATAAGAGTAGACGTATGAAGTGCAAACCAATTAAATCAATGAAACATCAAGGGTAGGTTTTTCAAAGTTTATCCACTTTTAGTCTTTGTGACTATTGTGGTAATCACACTTTTACTGCCAGTCTTTGAACTTTTCAACTTTTAGTCTCCTCACTATTGTGAGAGTGACACTCATGGTCCTCCAACTATTGTGGCAAAATGCATAGATGAATATCAAAAGTGTCAATACTACAATAGTGACAGTACTAAAAGTGGAGCACCAAAAGTGTTCTCTGCCACAATAGTCAAAGTGAAGAAAGTTAAAGAAGGATGCCAAAAGTGCCATCGCCACAGTAGTCAGGACTAAAGTAGAAAAGGCTCTTGTAGCCTCGTGTTTGATACAATTAACACTTGGCATGAGGAATGAGACAATCAGACACAAGGTGGGAGTAACACCTATTGAAGATAAGATGTGGGGGTCTCGAGTACGGTGGTTTGGTTGGTCATGTACGTAGAAGACCGAGTGATGCACCTGCTAGACGAGCATGGATTAAAGGAGCCAGGTGTGGTATGCTTCTTCTTGGGTTGGATGAGAGTATGGGTTTGAAGAGCAAAATGGAGGGTGAATATTTGTGGAAGATTAATCTCTAGTCATCTTTTTTATCTTTTTATCTTCTTTATCTTTCTTATGTCTTTATCCTTTTATCCTTTTAATTATATATATACAAATTATACTATGAATATATATATATATATATATATATATATATATATTCTTACCTTTTTTATCTTATCATGTTTATCTTTATCTTATATTTATCTTTATCTAATCTTTTTTTACTTTTTTATCTTATCTTATCTTTTTATCTTTCTTATCGTTGTTTTCTTTTTGCCTCCGATATCAATAATTCAATATATCATGTATCGATTCATATTAGTCAACCCCAAAATCTTTTGGGACCAAGGCTCAATATGGTTGTAATAAAGTATGACACACCTCACACACTACACTGAAGAAGGCAAGAAACCGCAGGTGGCAAATTGAATAAGAGAATTACAAGGTACCTTAGCAGAACGGAACACTGTTCCTGAGGTTGGTTGAAGATCACCGGAAATTAGTTTCAATATGGTTGACTTTCCAATTCCGTTTGGACCAACCACTGTAGAGAAGTATATAAAGAATTTTAACATATAAAAACTAGAAATATTTCAAAGATGAACATTTACTCTTACAAGAGTAAGAAAATTGGGCAAAATATATTTGAGCAATCATTTAAATGAACTTACTTGCAACGCGGCTGTCCAAATCAATTCCAAAATTTAAATTCTTGAACAATATTGGCCCCCCAGGATATCCAAAAGATGCATCACTGCAACGATTTTCAAGCCCGATGAACAAACAAGCCTCTGATTGATCAAATCACAACTATACTAGCATAGATATTGAAAGAAAAAAACAAACTAATCATTATAATATATGAGGGAGACTGGGAGCAACACATACAGGCTGGACTATACTTTACAGGTGGTGAAGTTGTGCCGGTAGAATGGCTTTTGCAAAGACAAGCTCAGACCACAGGAACACTAGAATGCTCTTTATTATTTAGAGGGATTTCAAGATCGAAAAAATGGAGGGAGAGTATATATGGATGAAAATTGAAGGTGAAAACTTGGGTAATTAGCCAGTATCCCAAATTGCAGATGGAAGACTGTTACCGGGGCAGTAGCTAAAAGATGTGGTTACTTCAGTATGAAGAGAGCAATATATTCAAATAGCATAGGGCTTGGACAAAGCATTATTTCCATGTGGGCTGGAAACGAAAAAAGTTTGAAAAGGTCAGGAGTGCTCTTGCGGGTGGCACTAAGAATAGAAGAAAAATACAAGCCTGGGTTTGAGATCGAGTCAAGGGGCCATGTAAAGAAGAAAGCTAGCTGGAGTTTCTTTCTGAAGAACTTCAAGGTTGCATACTTGCACGCAAAAAGTAATGGAGAATGGCATGAAATTGCAAGGGAATGATTGTAGTGTTAATACAGATGCAGTTATGTACTCCTGAAACTCCCTGAGCTAATTAATTGTACCATTTTCTATTTTTCTGATCCTCATTTATTTACGTTAATCCTCTCTTAAACAGAGAAGGAATCGCATTACAAAATTCTAAATTATAGGAAATACACACAAATGTGCTAACATGTACTGTGTAACAATAAACAAAAAAACATCACCACACCCTAACAAACAAGCAATCAAAATCGAGAGTAATGAAAACTTCAACTGCACTCCACTGATATGTGGCTCCCAATCTCAGCATCTTGACTTGTAGCTTTGGAGAGTCTGCCTAATCAACATAGGACTCTAACACCATAAGAAGTGCTGACTGACGTTGACGTAATACCAACATGCTAGATTATACACTATACGCACTGGGCCAAAGAGAGATTGGTCACGCAAGTTACCAGGGCCGTCTTAGATAGGTGGGTGTACTGGGTGATATGAGTGCCTGCACAGGGCTTCAATTTGTTTGGAAACTACACAAAAGCAGGTCCAATATATTTTTTAGTAAGTTCATTACTTCATTTTATACTAGGCCTATGTACTTTGCATTAAGCTCAATCTTAATACTCCCTCCGTCCCGTTGGAATGTTCCCGGTTTGACCTACACACATATTAAGGAAATAAACTTACCAGGGGGTAAATTTTACTGTTTGGACACTGTTTGAACACTGTTTGACACTGTTTTGCACTGTTTGACACTGTTTTGATGTGGGATAACTTTCCATTTAGGGAAATGATAACTTTCCATTGGGACATCCAAATAAGGAAAGTGAGAACATTCCAACGGGACGGAGGTAGTAGATATTGTGTGTGTTTGGTAGCATAAGTCCCTACCTTCTAGCTTTTGTACTATTTAAAAAGTGTCTAAAAGTTCATAGTTGTATATTTGACACAACAATTTTTAAGATTATTTTTACATTTAAAATCCTTTTTGAAGAACAGATCAGTGGCCACTAAACCGTTCCTTGAAATTTATGAAGGATTGAAATAGATTCAGGTAGGGTCCACTCCCACCAATCATAGGAACGGGTTTGTTGGTGGAGTTTCCAGAAACAATGTCAACTCAATGTTTAGGGAAAACGTTCGAGGAAAAATTACAAGAAGTAGGCTAGAGGCGCAAAACGGAGAGGCAGAAGGTGGTGAAGAATAAGCAAGAAAGAAATAGTTTCCTATGTAATTAAGTAGTGGTTTCCCTTCATGCAGTAGAAGGTAGTTTCTTATTCTTTTATAGGAGTTCTTGTTCCCTTTTGAACAATAATACACATTGTTCTCCATTCTCGAGCTAATTCCTTTGCTTTTTTTAACTTATTCCCTTAGATTAGGAGCTGTTGTATCAGTTATACATTGGACCGAGATATTTTAAACACACACTGTAGTTCTACAAAGGAGACACTCAAGTACATGTGATAACAAAATAGATCCAAAACTGTGTCTTGTGCTGTGCTGTTACCTGAAACTTATAATCGGAGCCCCTGGCCGGTCATCAGGAGAAGGAAATTCAAACTTGTAACTGCGAATAGAAAATGTACGAAACCATTATTTGTACTTCACTGAAGAAGGTTAGAACTGCAGAGGACTAAATGGATACTTTTTTAGGACAAAATGCTTACTCAGGGTCATTGAAAACTTCATCTACATGACCCATCCTATCAAGCGCCTGTCAAAACGAACAATGTAACCAAGAACTTTCAACTGATAATAGAAGATCAGTCACTAGCAACCATAACTAGATGCATATTAGTTATTTAGCATTAGTACATGATTATAATACATGCTATTAAAATAAAAGATCTTCAAGGAAAACAGCACAGGTTGTAGTTATTTGGCATTAATATTGTACTGTCGCCTATGAAGTCACCATTTTATGCTTTCAATTATACCCTTCTTGGCCTTCTATCATCTCAAAATGGGAAAATTACCCATTGAAGTTAGGTCATAATTTCAAGTTCAAACTTTTGTTTTTAAAAGTCAATCAACTACCCCTTGAGTTTTGACTGTTTTCACTGTTTACCCCTCAGGCTTAAATTTATCTCATTTAGATTTGTATATCAGTTCAAATCTGATTAAGATTGCCTAAAGTTTCTCCTATTACGGCTAGTTGATGTTCAAAACAATTCACCATCATGATTCATGATCATTAGTCATAGTTGGGAAAGAAGTTATTGCATCTTCTTTGCTACTAGCAAAAGAAATTCATTGAGATTTTATAATAGCATTTTTTTTAGAATAGCAATGAAAATATAAAAAAAGATGTCAACTACTCCCTCCGTCCCACTAAGATTGGGACGGGAGAAGGTGGCATGATTATTAAGAAAAGTATGTTTGTGTGGTTGATATTAAATTGATAAAGTAAAAATAAAGTTAGGATGATTTAGAGCCACACAACCTTTACCAAATATGGTATGGGACAATCTTAGTGGGACTTCCCGAAAAGGTAAAATGGGACAATCTTAACGGGACGGAGGGAGTATGACTTAAAATTATGATGATGAATTGTTTTCACTTTTAAGAGCAAAGAAATTAGACAGAATTCATTATATTTGACACTCACATGAAGTTAAATTAGATAAATATTGATTGGAGGGGTAAACCGTGAGAATGATGAAAACTCGAGGGGTGAGTAATTGACTTTTGAAACCACAAAGTTATGACCAAACTTCAAGGGTATTAGCAAATTTCTGTCAAAATGTACGAAACTGGTTTTCCAATTCAAACCTATTAAAGGCCCGGATAATGGCATTTTAAGTATACCATCCACTGCAAGAAAAATAATTTCCACAAGACTTTGTAGATTCCACAAACATTCGTGCTGTAATACAAGGTGAGTAGGTCACTATGTCGTAAACAGTAATTTCAAGTAAACAATCTGAAAATATAAGAAGCTACTCACTCAGTCCCAATTTGTAAGATATGTTTCCTATTTACTTGGTCAACACAAATCACTCTTAATCACTTACTTTATAGATCAAATTTTTATCAAATTTGATTCTGTTTTTTGCGACTTTGTACAGCTTTTAATGTAGTTTCTGAATATGTAATTTTTTTTCTAAAATAATTTTTGAGTGCGGACAGGGATCCGTTTGCTTTATCATTGGTCAAACATCGTAAACCGTAAAGTATCTTACAAAGTGGGACGGAGGGAGTAATATTTTTTTAAGAGCTGAAAGGTACCTTGATTCTTGATTGAACAAGGGATGCACGCTTTGCATTGTAGCGGAACTTATCAATGAATGTCTGTAATAAGTTAAGAAAAAAAGATTCGAGTTAATAACAATGAAGTAGACAATAGCCGCACAATGCACTTTGTTTGTGTGTTCGTTTGTGTTTGTATATCTCGCTCCTGTGGCATTTGACTATTTGAGTAATGGGACGGATTTGGCAATACTATTACACATGTACTGATGTACATATAGAGGAAATGAAATTCTACACATTTTGACCACAAGCCAGATATGTAGAAAGTAAGTATACCTGCATGTGGGCCCTGGAACGTTCATTTGCCTCGAATGCTTTATGTTGGTTTTTAAGCTGTTCTTCTCTAGTTCTCTCGAATGTATCATAGTTTCCTTTATAGGTAATGAGTTTCCTATTTTGAAGATGAATAATGTCGGTGACAACCTGAAGTAGATAATGCCGGTTATATGGATGTTTCAAGGAGACACCGGGGAAAAAACAAGTCAGCTGAAATATATATACATATCAAACAAAAACCATGCTGACACTAAGCATGTGTAGCAAAGGAGAAAAAGGCATACAGTGTTCAAAAATTCTCTAGCATGAGAAACTACTATAAATGTCTTCGGCCACTTCACCAGGTAAGTCTCAAGCCACAGGACAGCATGAAGATCAAGATGATTCTGCCATGACAAAAGTGAAAGCTTGTAAAGTTTGTATATGATATTTTAGTGCACATACTACATAATAGTTTTCAACTGAATACAACAAACCGTTGGTTCATCAAGCAGTAGTAAGTCAGGTTCAATAAACAATGCTCGTGCAAGTGCTATTCTCATCCTCCATCCTCCCGAAAATGTTTTTGTCGCCCTCTTTTGCATTTCTGTGGAAAAACTGAGGCCCTGAAAATGTAATGATCTTATGATCACGAACTAGAACTGACTACACCGAGTACATAGAAAAATAATAGTTCAACTCTATGTAGTTTACTCGGGATTACTCGGTGATTACTTGGCCTTGTATTAATTAGATTTAATGACGTAAATGCCGGAGATTATAGAAATATACCAGTCTTAAATTATCTTAAAATGCATCAAAATGAATAAAATGATAGAAATGCTAATGGAGTAGAAAAAGTCATAAACACTCTAAGTGTTCAAGAAAATCAATCATCTAATAATATGGTAATATCTATGTTCACTCCCCATGTCCATCCTATTCATCTGATTTTCTCTTAAGTGTAGTATGAGCATATTGAGCACCATTAGGAAGTGTTTGCAACTGCTTCTGCTTAAAAAAAAAGTACTTTTGGAGATGTAAGAAAAAAGTGATTAGTAGTAAAACTTGTTGTGTTTGAGAAAGAAGTGATTTTGAAAAGTAAAAGTTGGTAGTGTTTGGTAAAATAAGTGCTTTTTGTGTAATAGAAAAGGGAAAAACACTTTTCACACGCAAGCCGAGAAAAAGTAAAAATTGGTAGTGTTTGGTAAATAAGTGCTTTTCTTAAGCCAAAAGCTCAGAAGTGCTTTTTTTAAGTTGTTGCAAACACTCCCTTAGAAGCATCAACAGAGTTCATTGTTGTCAATTAGATGATGTGTGGTAGTGTACTAGTGCGTATCAATCAATGATGTGCCATAGTAAACAATCAATATAGTGATATTAATTAATAAGTTTCGTAGTACAGAGTATAATATATATATAGTCATTCTAGTGAAAAGAATTTATTTATATCAAAATATATGTGTGGATCAATATTAAACAATCAGGACGGTGATATTTTAAGAATGCTAAAAAGAACATATGGCGAAGAAGGATGGGAGGGTGGAAGAAGAAGATGAAGAAGAAACAAGAGAGGGGAGAGGGGAAGATACGAGAAAGAAGATGACAACTTATTGAGAAATCGTAGTCACAGCTCTAGGGGGGATAGTAGATGTCAGAAACTCCGTTTAACCCAGGTTTTGTAACTTAATTTTTCAATTTTATAAGGGGGGCCGAGTTAGACTGAGTGCTCGGCAAGTTGAAAACTTCACTGAGTTGAGAAACTTGCCGAGTACTCGGCGAGTAACTCGGAAATAAAACACGGATCGAGTTAGGTAGCTACTCGACAAGGCCAATACGCGAGTTGCGAGTACTCGCCAAGTACTCACCGAGTACTCACCGAGTAGATAACCCAGGTACTTCAACTTTCCTCATGAAACACACCACATACAGATAAATGCAATTATTTATCATTCAGATGTATGATTTATCAAACCCATTGTACTGGTAAACCGATTAAAACTGGTATCCCTTTCTTATAGTGGTTCTGTTTCTTAGAAAGGACAAGCCCTTATGCACTTGAAGTTCTAAAAAAAATGCACAAATAGCATGATAAGCAGTAAAGATTCATACGCAATAAATTCAGATTCATACGCAATAAATTCAGATAACGCATTCATGTGGTAATAAAAACTGACCGCAAGGATGGATGCTGCACGTGACTCAGCAGAGTAAGCATCGATAAGCTCAAGCCTTTTGTATATCTCCTCAAGCCTTTGTGCAATAGCATTTTTTTCTGATTCCCCATTGCTCTTTCCAACTTCACCTTCTAGATCGATATCTCTCTAGAAACCAGTGATGCATTTCAAATGTAGAAATGGGTGAGCGGGGCAATTAAGAAAAGAGCATGATAGTATAAATAAAAGTGGAACACTATAATGTGTGATAAAATGCGCAATTAGGAAAATTATATTTTCCACCTGTAACTCAAGTAGCCGACTTTCTTCTTCCAATAGTCGGGTTCTTTCAGCATCACAATTAAGGACACATTGCAAAACTGAAGTATCATCACCAGCAACCTCCTGCTCCACGTGTAATATCTGACAGTTCCTAGGAATACCATCTATGGCATGCATAGCCATGTACCTAAGGAATGTTGTTTTTCCAGTTCCATTGCGTCCAACTAGCCCTACATGTTTAGAGCAAAATCTGAAGTGACGTACATATCACATGATTGCGGAAGTGCAACAGGCAAAATAAAATCATTTTGATTGCTAAAAGAAACAACATTTCATCTCGATTGGCAAAGAGACCATGCAAATGATGAAATGAGAAGCCACGCTATATTCAGCATAGCCCATTTAGAGACCAAACTGGCCTTATTTTTTGAAGCACGTTTCATCACAATGCAAAAGGATTAAATGATTTATATCAATTTATACAGACTTTTCCTGGCGATTCGAGCCTTCTTTTCGTCCAAACATAGGAAGGGGGTTGGCTTTCCTTCGCAACAAGCTAGTCATAGGGAACATGTGGCTAGATTGAATCCTTCTTTTATTTCAATATGCAGCTCCGCAAGCAAGAAGGCACAGAACCTAATAGGATCTAAATAATTGTTGAGGATGTGTGCACAACTGCGCATCACTCGTCATCATAGGAAGGAGGTAAGGTGTTGTAACTTGTAAGTACTTCATGCACTTCGCCCATGGCAGACACGAGATTTTTCATACTATTACGAACATAGTAAGTTGATAAATATTAACAATAGTGTTTTAAAATAATCAAATATTCACTATAATTATATATATAACTCTCAACCTCTGACATATTTCAGTTTATTTATTTCATGCATATAAAAATTCATAGGTGCACGTGACGGCCAACAGTATCACTTAGTCACATCACATGATCGGTAGTTTATTACAATTAATAGACGACAGCCAACATGGATCGATTCATGTTAGTCGACCCCAAAATATTTTGGGAATAAGGCTTGGATGTTGTTGTGTGACAACCAATGCAGCACAAAAAAAAACTCATAATAAGATCCAGAGGCTAAACTGAATAACTTGACTGGTTGAAATTGAAGAGAATAATTGTTAAGATGGTGTAGACTTTTTTACTCAGTTTGCCCTAACTTTATTTTGTTGACAATTTTGTGGTTTGATTCTTTAGCAAGATCAACAACAACCAAGTATTATTATAAAAGTGTTTGGGATCGGCTAACATGAATCAACATGATATTGGAGAAAAAAATTTAGATAGAGAAAGAGGGAGAAAAACAATATAAGGATCAACCCTCCACACTTATGTTCTCCCTCCTCTTCACCGTCTCTAAAATCAAACTCTCATCTAACCAAAGTCTCTGAAGTCAAACTCTCATCTAACCAAAGTCGTATCATATGGAGTATCATTTTTTACCACTCTAATCCATGTCTATCTAGGTCGTTCCCTCTCCTCTCTCCCTCCTCTCAATCTGTCTAAGAAGTGCATCACACGGTCTACTACACACATGACCAAGCCACCACCACAGCAGAGACTCTTGCATCTTACACTCAATAGGTGTTATTCCACTTCTTTCTGATTTATTTTTTAGGATCGCATAAAAAAATTGAACCAACTGTGTAAGGATGTTTCCTTATGGACTGAAATTTGCTGGTCTGGTCTGATCTTGTCTGGTCTGAATTGGTCTGATCTGAACTGGTCTGTCTGATAAACGTAAACGTCTGATAAACGGTGTATTTTATAACTACGGAAGTCTGGTCTGGTCAGGTCTGATCTGGGACTGAAAACAACCCAAAAGAAAACATCTTAAATACGTTATTTGTTTATACATATTTCTTAAAAATATGCTTTGGGAGGTAGCAGCCCACTTGTCCCAAATTTATAAATACTTGGTCCAGCTTTGGGTGAGATAAACATTTGGTCCAGCTTTATACCTATTTAAAAAAGAAATATGAACTCACCGTAGTGTCGTCCAAATGAAAGTGTCACAGTTCCATCAGTGATGAGATCACGGCCACCAACTGATATGTTGAAATTCTCCATATGTATATCCTTGATTGCTGCCCCATCCACAACGTCATGGTTTACACAAATAGCAGGCATCCCGGCTCTGACAGCTTCCATCTCTCTTAAATGATCTTCATACTGTGCCTGCAAAGCCATAAAAATGCTTATATGCAGATAGAAAATGGCAAAAAACATGATATGTTCACCACATAGAAAGACGCCATAGTTTGCAATATAATTGACATGCCTTCTCTTCAGGATATTTGTAATAAAGCGAGATTGGTCATATAGGAAAATTGTTTTCCTACATCAAATTTAAACACCCAAATTAAATTATACAGGAAAAGGCATCAGCGATCGCATACCATGAGGACTAGGTCCCAATCACGAGTGGATCTCAACCGTCTAGATTGACCTATTTGGGTATCTTGGGTGATTTTCTTTGAATGTACTTTGGGTCGGGTTGATGCTTTCTTTAAGTTCCGTTTCGTTGGTTTTTTGTTTTTGTTTTCCTTTTGTTTCTTCTTGTGTACTTTACTTTCTCCTTTTTTAATAAAAATAAAATAAAATTCCCGCCAAAAAAAGAAAAGAAAAAAAAAAGAAAAAAAAATGAGTAAATGAACGATTAAAACTGGCAAATAATATAACAAAGTATATTCACCACAGATAATCATCAGCATTAACAAATGATTAAAACACTATTAATATTTCAAAGAGTATCAGTTTCACATAATATAAAGCACATATCCATAAAAAAAATTACCTCTCTTTGTCGCTCCTCTTTTCTCTTCCTCCTCTCAATCTTAATTTTGTCACGCTCAGTCAGCAGAGGGCCATCAGTTGGCTCGGGCTTCTTTTTAGGAGCTTCCTCTTCATCCATCCCATCAAACATTCTCAGTGGTGCTTTCAAGCTTCTTACAGAAGGTTTTGGTTTCACCAACCCATGCTTCTCGAGTTTTTCAGACAATTTGCTACATACCTGGCATACAATATCCAATTAATGTAACTTAACAAAAACATGAGTATTTTTAATACTTCTGAGCTGCTATACTTCATAGTACCTCTTCCTCTAAAGTACCAGGATGATAAACATTTTGTATGCCTAATCATTTTTTTTAAATAGTATGCCTAATCATTTTAAAATATAAATTAAAGGTTTTCACTTTCCATTCCTTCTTTCTCCATACTTATACTTTCTTATTATAAGCAAATACAGGTAACACTAGTTTCCTCCTAGTAACCAGGCAAGAGAGCTAGATGTAGTAGCCCTTTTTTCTACTCCGTATTAAGTACTACAGGGTAAAAGATTGTAAATTTACAGAATAGTTAGGATACTCTACACATAAAAAAGAGAGTACATAATTAGATTGATTTCTCAAACAACTCATGCCCCAAAGCTCATCTGACTGAGAAATGACATTCCAAATTTCTATTGATTCATTTTTATGTCTCTCTGCATATATGTCATTTTGTCAAGTACAACTGCAGTTATTTCACAAGGAAAAACACAATGGACATACTTAATGCTTTTGTACAAATCAAATCCTTATAAACACAGCCCAAAATACAAAGCACTTTTACATTCAAGCAAAACCTAATAATAAATTTGATAACTGATCTCTAAGGCGTACCCTGCGACATTCAGAGTAGTCATAGACGCAATCGGATTCGACGAGGAGGTCGCCGATGGCTTCGAAAGCACCGTCTCCATCGACGCCGAAGTCGAAATCCTCGTCAGCAAGTACGTTGATGATGTAGTCGACAATTGGCTGGTCCACGTCTTGTAGCCGCCCGCCTAGGACCTCGTGCATGACAGAAGTAGTCACCTCGGCCATCAGTCCAGCAGTGGAGGAGTTTCAGCTGTTAAGCTCCAGAAAAGAAAAAGGTATGCTATACTGCTATGCTGTTATAATTAAAAGACTAAAACAGAGGAGTTTCCCAAGAAGAAGAAGAAAAGAGGGTTGCAGTCTACTCACTGGACATGATAATTGATAACAAGTTAACTACCTCCATTTTGTAATTGCAAATTTTAGTACTAGTATATCCTTATGAGTCATATGTCTACATTAATGTATATCGAGATTTTTTTGAAAGTATTATTGAACTAGTTTTCAAGCCCGTGCGATGCACGGGCAGTACGTAATTTAGTTAATTTTAAATGTTTTTTTTTTAAATTGGTAGTGGAATAAATTTATATTAATAATTGAAGTTTTTCATTGACACTATAATCTAAGAATAATACTAAATTGATCATTTTAGTTGATTCTGACTGTTTGAAAATATCATTTTATCGCAACATACATCTTAACCCATATAGACGTCTTAATTCAGACAGGACTTAATACAAAAAAGTAAACAATTCTTCAAAATAATTGCAACTTTTCCCTTTAAGGCAATAAATGATATATGGATGGACATTTATACCCTTATTCACGGCACCTCCATTTTGCGGAGTAATACCCTGCGTCTCTTTTGAATTACTTCTTGGCCACCCATCAGTACCCATCGTCTCTCTTCTTTATACTGAATATTTTTCTTCTATCTTTCTTTATTTTCATTTCTACTGCATATGCCATGGATTTGTTACAAGTTTCTCATAATCGATCCTACTTACCTTTCAACAAAACATGACTTCTAATTATTCCTTCATTCTGTTGCTTCCACCAATTTGGAAATTGAGAAAGAAGATTCGAAGAGCAAAGAGGTAAACCGGCTTCCTCCTGTGAATGCTTTCAAGATTCGACGGAAAAGAATAGGTAAATCCAAAAATTTCCTGTGAACGGAGGATAGTATATAGCTCGTTTGATAATAATAAAATTAATATGTGTGCCCAACCTCTATGTTGCAATTAATTTGGAACGGAGGATAGTATATAGCTCGTTTAATAATAATAAAATTGATCGAATTGACTGATTATGTTGAAATTGATTAAGTTCTGTCTGAATGGGATACATCATTGTTTTATAATTTTAATAGTGAGATAAGTGAAATAAATAAAAATGATATTGAAATCTGAGATAAGTGAATAAGTAGAGATGTGAAATAAAAAATTGAACTATGAATAATAAAAGATTAAACAACATGTATACAGACCATTTTGGAAACTCTTCTTATACTTACTTTCTATGTCCTAGGCAAGTTTGAGAAGACTTCCCTGTAAACAATGTTTCGGGTGTGCCTTTTGTATTGTTGGTTGGAATCATCGATGAAGAAGTGTAATCCTTCTGGGGAAGTTGTTCGAGATGCAGCCACATACAATTGGCCGTGACTGAAAACGGGTTTTGGCAGGTAGATTCCCACGTGTTTGAGAGATTGTCCTTGGCTTTTGTTTATTGTCATGGCATAACATGGCTTCAATGGATATTGTCTTCTCTTAAGTACAAATGGTATTTTAGTGTCCGTTGATGTCATCACGATTCTTGGTATGAGCATGGTGTTGCCTTGTTTTGACCCTGTAATAATTCTTGCTTCAATTACAAATTTTCCGAGGCGTGTAATAGTGAGGCGAGTTCCGTTGCATAGGCCTTGTGATGGGTTGATATTTCTTAAGAGCATGACCGGCATTTCTTCTTTTAACTTTAGTTCATGATGAGGCAAACCTTGCAAGGTCAGGCTGTTCAAATACTCTGTAGGATAGGCTGCCATCTGGTCATCTGTCTCTTTTGATGAAGAGCAAATTTCATCACAACTTTTATAGACAGTCTCTTTTCCGGGCAATAGACCCATCACATAGTCATTTATGGAGTCTGCAGTTTCATTCAAGGGAGTGAGTATCGCTCTTTCCCTAAGATATTGTTCATCACTCATGTTGTTTTGGAAATCTGGATATATAGTATTCACAGTCATTTCAATATCCAGTGCCCCTGTATGTGCTATTAATTCATCCGGTATACTAACCCAAGTCTCCTCTGACTCATTATCCTCAGATTTGGCTTCGAGTGATCCCTCACCCAATGATAATAGCCAGTCATTGAACTTTTTATTGCGGTGTCTTTTATCTCCAGACTCGTCATCTTCTGAAACTCTCATGCTTTTCTTTAGGGTGATTACATTACAGTCATTCCATATGTATGACCTATTTATTGATGCTTGGACTGTGTCTTGTCTACCGCCTTTGGTTACAATTGGAAGCACCTGCCGAAAATCTCCTCCAAGCAAGACAACCTTTCCTCCGAATAATTTCTCTGCAGCTTCAGGTTTATGATATCCAATGATGTCCTTCATAGTACGATCTAATGCTTCAAAAGCAAACCTGTGATCCATCGGGGCTTCATCCCATATAATCAATGATGTTATAAATAGAAGCTCTGCAAGTTGTGATTTTTGTTTTATATTGCAAGTTGAAGTTTCATTAAGATCGATTGGTATTTCAAACCGGCTATGAGCTGTCCTTCCTCCAGGAAGTAGCAGTGCAGCAATACCTTGGATATGAATAAAACCAAAAAACTGTAAGTTGGAGTATTTTATAATAATATCATTTGTCCAAAGATTTGAAATGCAATTTGGTGAGAGATAAAATAAAATACTATAAAACTATATTGTTATTATAGTATTTTGTAATAATGCTATAAAACCGATATCTTACTATAATACTGTAAGATGAAAACTTTAGATAAAATATTAATGTGATATTGTATTTTATTTGAAACATTATAATGAATTATATATGCTTCATAGAAATACCTGATGATGCGACATTTAAAACAATCTTGCGGTTTGATCGGAGTTTTGCTGATATCATGCCATATAAGAATGTCTTTCCAGTTCCTCCGTGTCCGTACACAAAAAATGTCTCTCCTGTGTCGTTTTCTACTGCTGCAATTACTTTTTCATAGACTGCTAACTGATTATTATTGAGTTTGCTGAGTTTCTCTTCACACTCAAGAAAGAGCTGCCTTATGTCATAGTTATGTTCTTCTCTAATGAGTTTGTTATCCATGAGCTCTACATCTTTAAAACTTGGTTGTGGCATTGTTTTGATTTCTGCCAATGATTTCCCAAATTTCATTAAAATCCTATCAATCTCTAACAACGTGTATGTCTTCATCTGCTCTTCTGTGAGAATGAGATCAGGATGTTTGAATAGTTTTCTTTTCTTCAGTAGTATGTCCTCTGAAAGGTCATTGTAGCTGGACTCCCAAAAAGTTGTTACATTTGTAACTTCACAAAACAACAAAATTGTGACAAAAAGTTCTCGTAGTTGGGAAGCCATTGCCCAGTGGCTAGCTTCTTGAATAGCATGATGCCATTCTTTGTCATCATTTAGGAGTCCGAGAACATAGCATGCTTCCTTATAAGAAGAATATGTGTGCCCTTCAACTGTCCGAATATCTTCAAAGCTCTTGGGCCCCTTAACTATGTTCAACAACATTCTAAGATAATACCTTTCCCCTGCAGCTGGGTGAACATATGTTATTCTTCCAATGGATTTCCCTTTCTTCCTCTTCTGCCACCCCTTGTTCCATACAAATGCAGTTGGGAATTGTGCATAGGTTAGGTCACTTGCCTCGGGATAAGCGGTATTCGCAGCCATCCATGCTGTTAGCATTGTCTCTTGATTTTTATCTATGTCCTTCACAACATTCAGATTGTCCCCGTCTTTCAAAACAATTGACTGCTCTCCTTCTAAATGTACAGGTAGGCGCATGACTGAGGGGTTTCTTTCTTGTATATCAAACTCAAAGATTCTCCAGGATGCTTCACATGATGAAACATATCTACAATCTAAATATGACTTGATTTCATCAAGTTGTTCATCCCCAATAACCATTGTGGCTCGATCTGGGCCTTTCGAAATATACTTGAATAGGTATTTTATGGCACGACTGGTACTGCACCATTCAACGTTGATATGAGCATCAAACATCAAAAGCAATCCGGGGTTGTATGGCACAACAGACCTATTATCCAACTTATGTTCACCCTTCATAATGAACCTGAAAGTTTTTTTTTTGTAAAATTAGCATGAAAACTTGTAGTTACAACATTGGACATTTTATATCGACATTTAACAAATAAAGTTATAGAATGGTGGTGTTGAGGTGTGGTTCTTTATATACTTGTCATCTTTCCTGCGTCTATACACAGGGTACCCATTCTTGTCAAAAGTTGTGTCATCATTAAATGCTTTAGGAAAGTTCTTACTGCATTTTTTATCGATCATGCACGGGCATTTTGGATTTGCATAGCCACATGGACCATGAATCATGCATCTGGAGACCACCTCATATAATTCAAAGTCTTTTCTTTCATCTGGTATCTCTGCAGTGATGATGGTATCAATGTATTGAGGAGAAAATTGCACCTCGTCTTGTTGGAGCCATAGCAAGATGTGTGCATGGGGTAAGCCTCTTTTTTGAAACTCTATTGTGCAAACATCTGTGACAAATAAATAATAAAAAATTGATAAATATCTTTTAGTATGTAAAAAACCTATGAATATGTGTTTACCTGCAATATCGGTTCCAAAGTAATGGTCTTCTTTGAGGACTTTCATTAGCTGTTTAAGTTTGAGTTTAAATACTCTTGAAGTGATATCAGGTCTATCCTCTGCCTTTTGTTCTTTTAGCATCGATTCCACTTCTGGCCACTTTGGATTTGCTGTGAATGTAATGAAAAGATGTGGGTTTCCATACCATCTACAAATTGCCATTGCATCTTGGAAATTTTGTTGCATGTATCTTGGTCCTCCAGTGAATGATGATGGAAGTAGAATCCTCTTTCCTACTGATGCACCTGATGAGTCTCCTTTAAGAATTGCGTCACATATGTTATTGTACAAATCACGTCTCAAAGACGCCTGATTATCTCTAATGAAATTCAACCTCTCAGCTTCTATAGCACAATAGCAGTCCACTATGAACTGGAGGAACAAACGACCTCCTTGCAGTAGACATTTACCTTCGTTTTCTCTTTGTTGGAGCCTGTATGCGTAGTATTCTCTCATTGTTACAAATTTATTTTTGCCTTTGTTTGTTTGCGTCCTCTCCTGATATTCTATGCCTACATAGTAGTTGTCTTCCCCATATGGGGATAGGAGGGGATATTGT